TTCCTATTATATTACCTAATGCCTATTACCATATTCCAATATGATAAAATCAGGGAAAATAGGACACTGCTAATATATTCACGTTTATTATTTTCGTGTTTCTAATAGGACACTGCTAATATATTCACGTCTATTATTTCGTGTTTTCTAATAGGACACTGCTAATATATTCACGTTTATTATTTCGTGTTCTCACTCCCTGCTTCCGAAACACACACACGTTCAAGCGTCAAGGAGTCGAGGCACAGACGCTCCCAACTCGGCTGTCATGTCACGGCTTCCTCGCACCGTAGACGTCCCCGTGCTTGACAGGCTTTGTTCTCGACGCGATTGCGAGTGTGTGGTCTTGCCGCGTGCATTCTGACAGGGCCGCCGTACGTTTCCCGTCTGGCTGAGAGAGAGATCCGTGGGTGGGCGTGGCGGGGGGAGAGAGCGTGGGTGGGCGTGGCGGGGCTGAGAGATCCCGTGGGGCTGGCGTGGGTGGCGTGGGGGCTGAGAGATCTGAGATCCGTGGGTGGGGCGTGGCGGGCTGAGATCCGTGGGTGGGGGGGCGGGGCTGAGATCCGTGGGTGGGCGTGGCGGGGCTGAGATCCGTGTGTGGGCGAGGCGGGGCTGAGATCCGTGGGTGGGCGTGGCGGGCTGAGAGATCCGTGGGTGGGCGTGGCGGGCTGAGATCCGTGTGTGGCGAGGCGGGGCTGAGATCCGTGGGTGGGCGTGGCGGGGCTGAGAGATCCGTGGGTGGGCGTGGCGGGGCTGAGATCCGTGGGTGGGCGTGGCGGGGCTGAGAGATCCGTGGGGTGGCGTGGCGGGGCTGAGAGATCCGTGGGTGGGCGTGGCGGGGCTGAGAGATCGTGGTGGGCGTGGCGGGCTGAGATCCGTGGGTGGGCGTGGCGGGGCTGAGATCCGTGGGTGGGCGTGCGGGGCTGATCCGTGGTGGGCGTGGCGGGCTAGGTGGCGGGGCTGAGAGATCCGTGGGCTGGCGGGGCTGAGAGATCCGTGTGGCGTGGCGGGGCTCCGAGAGCGTGGCGGGGCTGAGAGAGGGGTGGGCGTGGCGGGGCTGAGAGATCCGTGGGTGGGCGTGGCGGGGCTGAGAGAGAGATCCGTGGGTGGGCGTGGCGGGGCTGAGAGATCCGTGGGTGGGCGTGGCGGGGCTGAGAGATGGCGTGGCGGGGCTGAGAGATCCGTGGCGGGGCTGAGAGATCCGTGGCGTGGCGGGGCTGAGAGATCCGTGGGTGGGGTGGCGGGGTGAGATCCGTGGTGGGCGTGGCGGGCTGAGAGATCCGTGGGTGGGCGTGGCGGGGCTGAGAGATGGGCGTGGCGGGGCTGAGATCCGTGGGTGGGCGTGGCGGGGCTGAGAGTGGCGTGGCGGGGCTGAGATCCGTGGGCGTGGGCTGAGAGGTGGGCTGAGATGAGAGATCCGTGGGCGTGGGCGGGGCTGAGATGTGGCGGGGCTGAGAGATCCGTGGGTGGGCGTGGCGGGGCTGAGAGATCGTGGGTGGGCGTGGCGGGGCTGAGACTGAGAGATCCGTGGGCTGAGAGATCCCCGGGGCTGAGAGCGGGGCGGGGTGAGAGATCCGTGGGTGGGCGTGGCGGGGCTGAGATCCGTGGGTGGGCGTGGCGGGGCTAGAGCTGAGATCCGTGGGTGGGCGTGGCGGGGAAGCTGAGATCCCCGGGGCTGAGCTGAGATGAAAGAGATCCGTGGGCGTGGGCTGAGAGTGCTGAGATCCGTGGGTGGGCGTGGCGGAACAGCGAGGTCGGGGTGTTGACGAAGCCAATCCTGGACAGAACAGCTCGTGTGGATGGTGGTGGTGTCCTTAATTTGATAGACAGCACCGCTCGCGTGGATGGTGGTTGTCCTGGATAAGATAGACAGCACAGCTCGTGTGGATGGTGGTGTTGTCCTTAATAAGATAGACAGCACCGCTCGCGTGGATGGTGGTGTTGTCCTGAAGGTGTTGACAGAAGGGCTCGGGTTCAGGAAACACACAAGCCGTGACTGTTAGAAGGAAAACCTCGATTTCTACGTATTCGCTGCTCGTAAATCGGAAGAGCCGACCTCCTTCAACTCCTCCCAAACAACATTCTCTGGTTCAAATCTGTTAAAGGGTAACTGCATTTGTTCAACACACACACACACACCACACACACACACACACACACACACACACACACACACACACACACACACACACACACACACACACACACCACACACACACACACACACAACCACACACACACACTCTTTCAAAAATGTTTCAGCGTTCATTCCTATTGAAACAAACATTTTTCTTCACAATATCGCGTGAAGGGACATTGACAATATCTTACCTACTTGGGTGTTTTGTCGACGCCAAACGTGTCTCGAACCGGCGGTGTCTCACGAAAAGATTTCTCGTCGCCGAATTTACTTGATTGAAGAGGGCCTGTGGCTTATCTGCATTTTGTAAGGGGTGGTCCGGCCTTTACGGGAAGGAAATCGTCTCGCAGTGAATCCACAGGAATTCAGGAACGACTTAATGAATTAATTAAATTAGAATTAAAATTAAGAAAAAATAAGGAATTACGGGATGTTTTTCACGTCACACTTTTTTGTGACATTTCAGACGTGGATTGACAGGGAAGTGATGGTCAATGTGGTTTCCCGTTGCTTTCTCTGGCTAGCAGTGATCATGACCATGTATGTTGTGCGTAAGTGTGTGTGCGTGGTGTGTGTGTGTGTGTGTTTGTGTGTGTGTGTGTGTGTGTGTGTGTGTGTGTGTGTGTGTGTGTGTGTGTTTGCATGTGTATGTGTGTGTGTGTGTGTGTGTGTATGTGTATGTGTATGTGTGTATGCGAGCGCGCGCGTTTGCGTATGTCTATGTATGTGCACGTGTGTTTAAAGTGTGTGCGTGCGGACTGTATGTATCTGGTGTATCTACTTTGCACGTCCAAAATGAACCTCAACACACCTACACCCAATGCGATCACCCCCCCGCCCTCCTTCCGTGCACACCCCCATCCCCCCCGCCCCGCCACCCCACCCCACCCACCCCCCCCCGCCCGTGCCACCCCGGCCTTTGTCCGAGCATATGGCACGCCCGTCGTTTCCCTGCGTACGCCTAACTTCGTACCTGGCAGGAGGAGGAATGCGCCGCCTGGCTCCCTCGGATGGCAAATGGGCCTAATGGTGCCTTCGCCGCCGCAGGCCTGAGCGGGAAGAGGCGTCGCGGAGGGAGGGGTGGAGGAGGGAGGGAGAGAGGGAGGGAGGGAGGGAGGGAGGGGGGAGAGGAGGGAGAGAGGGAGGGAGGAGGGAGGAGGGAGGGAGGGAGGGGTGGAGGAGGAGGGAGAGAGGGAGGGAGGGAGGGAGGGGTGGAGGAGGCCTGAGCGGGAAGAGGCGTCGCGGGTTCGTCGGGAGGGTTTTTTGGGGGGGAGGGAGGGGGAGGGAGGGAAGGAGAAGAGGGGTGGAAGGAGGGAGGGGTGGTGGAGGAGTAAGGAGGGAGGGTGGAAGGGGAAGGGAGGAGGGGGAGGGAAGGGAGGGAGGGGGTGGAGGAAGGGAGGGAGGAGAGAGGGGTGAGGAGAGGGAGGAAGGAAGGAGGGAGGGGTGGAGGGAGGGAAGGAGGGGTGGAGTGAGGGGTGGAGAGGGGAGGGAGGGAGGGAGGGAGGGAGGGAGGAGGGGAGTGGAGGAGGAGGGGGTGGAGGGAGAGAGGGTGGAGAAGGGAGGGTGGAAGAGGGAGGGAGGAAGGGAGGGAGGGGTGGAGGAGGGAGAGAGAGAGGGAGGGAAGGGGTGGAGGACGGAGGGAGGGAGGGAGGGATGGAGGAGGGGTGAAGGAGGGAGGGAGGGAGGGTGGGAGGGGTGGAGGAAGGGAGGGAGGGAAGGGGTGAGAAGTGGAAGGAGGGAGGAGGGAGGGAGGGAGGAGGGAGGAGGGAGGAGGGAGGAGGGCTGGAGGAGGGAGGGAGGGAGGTGAGAATGTTGTAGGACTGGCTGGCTGGTTGCTGGCTAAGAGTATTCATCTTTTTTTTCATTATTGTTTGAAATTATTATGTTATTTGTTGTTGTTATTATTATTATTATTATTATTATTATTATTATTATTTTTATTATAATATTTGATAGTAGTAGTAGTAGGCATTGTTGCTGTAGTGGTGTATCAAGAATGAAAAGAATTATAAGCATTTTTAATATTGTGTATTTGTTCTTGTTATCATTATTTTCGTATTTCCATCACCCTCCCTCTCTCCCTCCCTTCCCTTTCTTTCCTTCCTGTCTTCCCGTTTCTCCCTCTCCCTTTCCATCACCCTCCCTCTCGCCCTCCCTTCCCCCCCCCCCTTACCTTCCTGTCTCCCTATTTCCCTGTTTCTCAGTTACACTTTTCACTTTTAAGGTAAAACACTGCACACAATAAAAAAAATCACAACACAATAAAGTCGCGCAGTTGTTTTTAGTGTTGTCGGGAGTTGTGGAGGTTGTAAAAGCTGTTATGGACCGCGCCAGTGACCTGCTGTCTTGTATGGGTGTCTCGCGTTCATACTTGCAAATGCATTGATTGTTGTTTGTCTGTCTGGTGTCATGTGTCGATTCTCGTTCATGGCAACAGTTGTGAAAGCCAGGAAAAGGGAGAGAGAAGGGTTGGGCCTCTTTCTGCAACGCAAATTGGTCCCAACGCAAAACGTCATTGTATCTATAATAAGGTTCCGTATCTCCTAACCTTGCGGGGCCCTGGCTGTTGGTGGTGTGTGCGTGTGTGAGGGCATGTTTGTCCCGTGCGCCGTGTGTATGTGTGTGCACGTGAGCCGCTGCATGTACCGGCATCCTCTCTCTGGTTCTGTCTCAGTCTCTCTCTCTCTCTTTGATTCTGTCTCTGTTCTCTCTCTCTTTGATTCTGTCTGTCTCTCTGATTCTGTCTCTCTCTCTCCTCTGTCTCTCTCTCTCTCTCTCTTCTCTCTCTCTCTCTCTCTCTCTCTCTCTCTCTCTCTCTCTCTCTCTCTCTCTCTCTCTCTCTCTCTCTCCCTCTCTCTCT